ATAAACCGTTGGCCGTAGAATAATAAACCCTTCTTATGAAAGGGTAGAACAATAAACCCTTAGCCGTAGAATGATAAACTCTTTTTATAAAAGAGTAGAACAATAAACTCTTAGCTGTAGAATGATAAACCCTTTTCACAAAAGAGTAGAACAATAAACCCTTGACAGTAGAATAATAAACCCTTTTCATGAAAGGGTAGGACAATAAACCCTTAGCCGTAGAATAAAAAACCCTTTTCATGAAAAGGTAGAACAATAAATCCTTGGCCGTAGAATGATAAACCCTTTTCATAAAAGAGTAGAGCAATAAACCCTTAGCCATCGGATAATAAATCCTTTTCATGAAAGGGTAGAACAATAAATCCTTTTTCGCTAGTCATAAACCCTTTTTATTTTTAAATACCCTTTTTCTCAGAAACCCTTTCGCACAAAAACCCTTTAAGGGTTTAACACACCAGCATAAACCCTTTAAGGGTTTAGGAAGATTTTCCTAAAGTACTAGGGTTTATTATTCTACGATTTTTTTTTACAGTGTGCATCATTAATCAATATTTTTATGTGGAATGTTCATTTTGTATGTTTCTGCTTTCGATAGATGGTGATTTTATTAGAATGTTAGGATCAAGATTATTAATGCCATAGATAACTTGTGCTGATGGAACATAGATTTTAGCTCGATCAATATTTTCTTTTGAATCATCAAAGAAAATTGCTGGATTGATTGATTGTAAGAATGGTGTTTTATCTAATCCACCTAAGAAATGTGTTTCATCAATTTCAAGACCCCATTCTTTAAGAGTATGAAATACTCGTATGTTACCGACATCAGAGCGAGCAGTAACTAAAAATGTACGTACTCGTCATTTATGATTTTCTCCTAGTGATTGACGAAGTTTTTGTAATTTGAGAGCAAATACTTGCATAGGACCTTTTGATAAAACAATATGTCCATGTTTACGCTCGAACTCGAAAAATCCTTCAAGTCCTTCTGTTTTGTAGATACGCTCTGCTTGATCTGAAAAAAGTACACCATCTCCATCGAAAGCAATACGAACTTGACCTTCGGGCCATGATAAAGAAGCCAATGGAGCAGATAAATCAGAGTTAGTTTATGTATTTACTTCAGAAGGTAATATCGTCGTGTCAATATTCGAATTAGATTGTTGATTGTGAGAAGATTCAGGTACTACCATTAGATTAGAAGGGATAGTTGGCGTTGTGTTCACTATATTTCATACTAATGCAGCTGCCATGCCTGTAAATCCTTCACCACTAGTACCAGACAGTACTGTACGTACTTGATCTTCATCTGCAGTAAGAAAAAGATCACATTTCCAAGCCGACAAGTACTTTGTAACATCTGTACCACCAGTAAATGACATACGTGTAATAGGTAGTTTATAATAATAGATAGATTGTCGTACTCGCTCTCCATAATCACTATCTTTTCGAGAAATGAGTACAACTTCGACCAATTGTTTTTTAGCAACTTCATTCAATGCTAACAATGATCGAACAAGAGGATAACCAACACCAGGTTGCAGAGGTACAATAAGATTAGTACGTTGACGTTCCTTATATGCTTCAAATCCATCACGTTTCCAAATTTCACGCAACTCGGTACAGTCGAAAAGTGCCGAAGATGTTATACAAACGACTAGTTCGAAGGTTGGCAGCATAACAGTTGATTTATTCTAATCGTATTTCTAAAAATATAGAAAGAAAAATTTTAATCATCAGTAATAAGCATGAAACATCTAGTATTACACTTCGATTCTATCATCGTTTTAATTTCAAACATCTCAAAAGTTTCATACTATTACTCTATGAAGGTTTGATAGTTATTAATATGGGTGTGGGTGTGAGTGTAAGGGTCTTATTCAAAAACATCCACATCCACCCCACCCACACCCACATCCCACACCCATACCCACACGCCCACACACCCACATCTCACACCCATACCCACACACCCACACTCCAAATCCAGACTATGTTCATAGTTTCAATTCAATCAATATTTCATAAAAATTATTTTTTCGAACAAAGAAAAAAAAAGTTAAATGTTAACAGGCGTTGTTGAAACTGCTTGACGTTCAGATTCAAGTCTTAAATAAGGTCCTCTATAAGTAAATAATGATGCCGCACTTATCACAAAAAGACAAAGCATAAATATTGAAGATGGTGTAAATATTTGTCCAGGCTTATATTGTTTATTTAATTGAATAAGTGCTCCAAGCACATATATAAATATTCCACCAAGAACATTCCCAGCACACATTAATAAACCAGTTGACCATTCTGCTCTTATTGGATATGTACATTCAACAGCACATTCAAATGAAACAGGTAATAATGGTAATAAGAAAAACCCCATTAAACCGATTGATACAGCTAATGGATAAAATTGATTTGGTCGAAGAATTAAAACAAAGAAAATTCCTGAACCACAAGCACCAATTAATAAAATTTTTAATATAAGACGATAAGCATGAGTTTTATCCATAATAATTCCAGCTAGAAATCCATTGGTAAGGCCAGCAACAATTAAAACTGCACCAAATATTCCAGCATCTTGACTCGTATATTGACTTGGTTGAATTAATTGATATAATAATGTTGTTATAGAATTGAATAAAGCTAAACCAAGACCAAAACCAATTAAAAGTATTAAATAATGACGATTTGTTAATAAATTAATCAAATCTTCTTTTAAATTTATTGTTTGATAATGTTCTTCAGATGGTGATGGAGGTGTTGGTGGACCAGAACGAAATATAATTATTAATACAAATGCTGTTAATGCAGTAAAACCAGCTTCACTTATTAAAAGAATAAAAAATTCTTTTGATGTTGGTGGATCATTGACAATTAATGATGGAACTAATGAACCAACTGCTAAACCTAAAATTTATATTAAATTTTTATTTAATTAATTTTTGAAAAATTTTACCTAATGGATAAGCCATTGAACAAATAGATGTTGCTATATCACGTTGAGAAGCTGGAAACCAACGTGCAGCAAATAATGCTGTTGAATTTAAAAAGAATGGTGCTCCTATGGCCGGAAATAATTGACCGATTAATAATGGTATATATCCCATATTTGGTTTAATTAATGATAAAACACGAATGAATACACCTAAATTTAATACAGATCCAATAATCATTATTGTACGCATTGAACATATTCGTGATAACCATATGGATAATATTGTACCAATAACATAAAGGAATAAAAATATTATAGCTAATGTATTTACTTCTGCTGTTGATATTGAATAAAATTTTGAGGTTTCAGCTTCAATTGGTGAGAATGTCATACTACACATTGCATTAGCAAATGTTGCTAAGACATACACTATTAATTGAATCCATCGAATACCATATACACGATATGTTGGTACTTCTGTTTCAGCCATTTGAAATTTTTATCACAGTAGTTATGTGCTCGATTTTATATATATTACAGTGTAGATTTTTTTTTTGTTTTCAACTTCTATTTATTATAAATCTTATCTTTTTTTTCTGTTCTTGTTTCAAAGGTTATACTTGTTTGTTATTATTTCTACTAAAAAAAGTAAAGCAAAATTATTTCATTTTTGAAACTGAAAATGTTTTATTTATTTTTTGTATGATTAATACTCAATCTAAACGACATCGAAATTTTTTCTCCATTGATCAAAATATCGTCAGATTATTTATGAATATAATCAATTCAATAAAAGTTGGCAAGGTTTACTGCAGAAAATGACCACTATTAGAACTGTTTTATCATAATGAGTAAATAACAAGTATCTTTGCTGATAAAGTAATAGTGAAATGTCAATAAAGAACTGTACTCATCATCAACCGAAATAGATGAATAGACATGTTACAATCTGTCATAATTGTTGACGAAATTTAAATTCAGAATTTCAATTGAAGAAACAAAGTTAACGGATAATGGCACAATCGTCATGGATTTAGTTCGAGTCCGATAGACGCTAGGACACGTTAGGATCTATTAGTATCTGCTACGACCCAATATGCTTCACATTATTTTTTTTTCTTTGATTGAAAAACTATAATAGAGTTCAGAAAAAGTCAACAGTTACAAATCTTTCAAAGTTTCAAGAAAAAAACATTGATTTCCGTAAGAAAATGAGTGAATCACCACCCAAAAGGCAACGATCGTGCGTTTTCAGTTGTCGAACACAAATTTTACCATTTAATTTAACTAGTTCTAAAATTTCCTTTATTTAAATCAATCTTATATCATTTATTAAGTTGGTTTCAATATCTTCTCTTCATCTTCTTCGATGACAACTGAAAAACTATTTCAATAACGTTCCAGATGGATTGTATGAAAAAAATTTTCGATAAATCTCTACCATCAACCAAAAACTGAGTCCATTTAATTGAAATGGAGCGGAGATATTTCAATGCTTGCCATAGTGATATTTATGAGACACTGTCTATGCTTGCTTATACAATATATTTTGAATATTTTCTAATTAATAATAATAAAAAAGAGTTATTGTGACGAATAGCACTATTTAACTTATTTATGTTTGAGTTTGATGTCATTCGATATCTGTTCTAATTAAAACAAATCTCTATTACCTATGGTGAAATGACATAAATGAGGCTTACTTATTCTTTTCTTTCGGATTAAAGTTTAATAGCCAGGCACTAACTGTTTCAAACGATAAAAGAAACCGATTGCTCCGGGTATTTGTATTGCTGTTTAATTTAGATAGGAACGTTTTCAATGAAACCAATAGTCACCTTTCACCAAATGATAAACGAAGAAATGTCACATTTTATGTCACTATACATTTATTTATTATTTTAAAAATCAAAAGTTACACAAACACTCCCAAATGTTAGTGCAAAAAGAAAACAATACATCAAAAAAATTTAGAGAAGTTAAAATGCATCTATAAGAACACGAATCACGTTCAATCTGTTGCAATCCTTACCCTTTCTCTTTCAAGTCAAAGCTAGGTATCACTTTCAAAGACACTATTCTCTATGAAAAACGAATGAAAATAGAAAGGGAAAAGAAAATTATTTTTGTCATATGTACATAGTTTTTAGCAAGAGAAAGAGCGAAACTTCCTCCCCATGCATTAGTGTTGGTGTTATTCGTTGATATATTCTTTAATTATTGTGTTGCCATCAGTTCTAGCTCAAACAAGTGATGAAAGTTCACCTGATCGTTTCTTAGTCGTATCAACATCAGCAACTGCCGGTGAGTGATAACTGTCATCTTTATCACGATTAGAATTTCCATTTTCAATGAACGTCTGACTTTGAACAGGAACAACATTATCAGTAATAGAATTAGGGTTCTTGTGTTCGCTGCGCTTTTGATCATTTGAGTTTGAAGTTGGATTTTCTAAATCATCGTTAGTAAAGCCAACCTGACTGTTAACATCCACTCGGTTGTCCTTAACATAATTTGGCTTACATTTACGGATGAGGAAGACTACGAATGGTATAATTATTAATTTAAATAGGGCAAACATCAAAGCGAACATTCCAATAACCATTGTTATAAATAGAAAATCATGATAGATTATAATAGGCAATCGAGCAATTGGTGATTGTGAATTTAATATATAATAGGGTGTTTCAGTGATCATTAATGTCATATTTGTCGATGATTTAGGTGTTGCAATCAAATAATCAGTGCTTGCCACGAAAAATTGACAGTAATTCACCGTAAATTCACCAACCCAAATAGCTCTGAATGTATCATCATTGCCACTGACCAGTGGACTTGTATCATTGACTAGTTTTGTTAACTCGAGAACAATATATACGTTTTGTCCTACCATGCGTCCATCTTCAGTGAATACTTGTGAAAAACCTAAAGTTTGAACCGTTTTTTTCGAAGTTTTGTTTTTACTGGCACCACTCAGACCGATGCGAAGTCCACCAATTGTATATATGTTCGGTAAAGTAAATTGTACAGTAATTGATCGATATGGCAGGGGAACACTATAGGAAAGTATGTAGTTCGATGAGGTACACGAAAGATTTGAAATTGACACCCATGCTGTATCTGAGTAATAGGTCAATGTAATTGCATCTGATGTGCAGTTGTAAACTGTATTGATAAAAGTGACATCAAGATTGACTGCTTGACATGTTTAACAAGTCAAGCATGTCTTGGACATCATTTGAGGTTGGTATCGATAAAGATTGTAAAGATGAACTAAATTGTGCATTACGTAAAGTTGTATCACAAGTGTATGTCGAAGGTGGAGCTGTTTCAATTGGATATGAATTATAATAATAAGCAATGAATACATAGCAAGAAATACTGAGCACAATAACACAAAACGAAGCAAGACCATCGATTCACAGGTCACCTGCAGTAATGAGATCTGTTTGTTTAAATACTTTTTCTAATTTTTCATAACCATCTGCAGCTTTTGAATTTTTAATACAGTGCTTCATGATAAGCATTCCACTTCCAATAAGAATTACAATACCACCAACAAGCAAGGTCCAGAAGAGTGGTGAAAGAGCAACACACCGTGAAGTTGAACCAATTGAAAACAGTGTGAAAAATAGAATGTCATCAATTCCAATAATAGCTGGTGATGTTGGATAAGCAATTACTTGAGTAACATTGCTAAGTGAATCGGTTGAGACAGAATCACTAGTGGAACCAAATGGACAGAATGCATTCGTTGTACAGTCGACGCAGGTTGATGCTGCAAGATTGGTTCCATCATTTTTTGTTCCCGCCGGACATGGTAGACAGCGTCTAAGACATGTTCCATTCTTGTATGTACCGGGAATGCAAGGCAATTGTAAAGAGAATGCCGGTACAATTTGGATACTTGGACCAGTTGTTGATGAATAATAACTACTGGGTGATGGGAGAATAACAAAGAGACCATCTTGATTATCGAGAAGAATTAAGTTATTTGAAGTTATGATGATATTGAGAAAGATAGAAGACATGTAACTGTAAAGCCGCTGTTGAATGTTGGGAAAGATAGAGATTGGAGTTGAGGTATTCTCCAGTGTACCCTCATACATCTAGATTTTCTAAGAACTCCAAACGTAACTTGTTGAATAAACATTGACAAGAATGGCAAAACTGTTAGAAGCATAACTGAACCAGGCAACTCCTTTACCAAAACCAATTCCTTGACCATTATCTATTGAACTGACGAATGTCAATGCTGTCGTTGTATAACTGAAAAGAAAAACCGTGTTCATCGACTGAATACCAACGAGAACTTGTGTGCCTCTTGGATCTATACTAACAGACATGTCGAATTTAGCTGCATATAGATTAGTGCCTGCATTTGTTTGTCCGGCCTGCCATGTTGTTCCATTCATTGGGTAGATCCATGAACTGATTTGTGTAGCGATGGCTGTTCCTGTATTGATACTAAACAGAATAACAGTTGCACGGAATTTGATGTCTATTAAAATGCAGAAAGAGAACGTCAAAATTCAGAGAATAATGTATTTGTATTGATTATGAACTTCTTCTACATACGTGAGTTTTGACCATTACTGAGAAAACCAGCAATTATACCGCGATTACCATCGTAATCGACGGGAAGCGGTAAAAATGATGTTGAAGGAGAGAGTGAATTATTTTGATAAACGATCAGAGTACTAGTGGATGCTGTATATGAAAATATAAAGAAATCAGAGAAACCGTAGGCAATCAGACCAAGAGGACCAGTTGTCATTACTAAATGCTCCTGATGATCGAAGATGCCCGGCACAAATTGTATGGTGGAAGTGAAACCAGTATCACAATCAATTGTGACAAGAGAGTCTCTGTAAGTAAGAACACTAACGAATGTATGATTCATCAAAGGATTGCTACTGTCCACATCAATAACTTCACCAACGAAGAAAATGTTGTATGTTGATTGGTTTTTACCAAGAGCAACAGTATAAACAAATGGTAAAGAATCATCGTATTCAATAGAACAACTTCGTGCACTGGTTTGTGTGATATTATCAGTGTACGGTGCAAGTTGAATGAGAAATTGAGTTAGATCATTTTGGGCTTCAACAATCATCAAACTATTGCCATCTATTTTCAGTCCATATGCATCATAATCAGATGTTTCGGGTGGAAAGTTATTGGCAGAGGAAAAACATATGAAGAATAGGAGCGGTGAAAGTAACCGAAGCAAGTTTAACATTTCAGTCGACTTATAAGAAAAAAAAATGAAATAAAGTAAGAGAACAAATCACACTTGATAAAGTCTTTCATTCAAACAAACTGCTTTTCCAAAATGTTCTTTCTTTCTATGCTATTTGATCATACTTCAGTTGACACCATAACAACAAAATCCTAATAAGACTAGTTTGTCTAACATGTGTAATGGTTACAGAAGTTCATATTGTCTTCAATATGCATTCTTTTCTTGATCTTTTCTTTGTTTTTCTTCTTTCCTTTATTCTTTTCCCTCGCTTCTTCTGAGACTTTATCATTTATCATATGTATACAAAGACATATGCCTCTTTTTGTGCACGTGCCGTGAACTATTCTATTCTATTCTATAGAAAGTGAAAGAAGTAAAGTTAAATCGAATCTTAACTCTCTTCATTTTTGTTTTCAATGGACAAAGAAAATTTTCGTTTCTATATTAAAGTGCGTACTGCACTTAGTATTGAAGCAAGAACTATTCACGATGAGCTACGTACTGTTTTTGATGATGAAGCTCCTTCTTATTGAACAGTTACAAGATGGACTCAATGGTTTCATGAAGGTCGAGAAGAAATTGAAGATGAAGAACAATACAGAAGATCTATAACTGAGAGTACTCTTGAAAATATCGAAGAAATTCATAATATTGTTAGTGATGATCTTCATGTTACAATAGTAGAATTACAAGAGCATACTGGTCTAAGTTATGGCACTGTTCATAGAATATTATCTGATCATCTAGAACTTAGAAAAATTACTGCTCGTTACATGGCGAAACAACTAACGGATTATCAACGAAGTGAACAAGTTCGAATATGCAAAGATAATCTGTCAAGATTTGAAGAAGGATGATGGCATTTATGTGACGTGGTAACAGGTAATGAATCATGATTTTTCCATCAGCAAACTGGTCGAAAAGTTTTCAATGCTGCTTGGGTGGCAAAAGAAGATCCTCCACCCACAATAGTGCGACAAAATAAGTTTGCTCCGAAAAACTTTATTTTGCATTTTCTTTATATCAACTGGTTCTCTTCTGATCTATCGTGTCGAACGTGGACAAACTATCAATCACCAACATTACATCAAAAACTGCTTGCAATCCCTTGTCCAAGAAATCAAGAAACAAACACCTCTCTCAGGTACTCATGTCGTCAAACTTCATCATGATAACGGAGGAGCACATGTTCATAAAGATATCCTCAATTATCTTGGCTCAGAAGGAGTTACCATACTACCACAACCACCCAATTCTCCAGATCTGTCTCCCTGTGATTTTTGGTTATTCGACTTAATCAGACTAATTCCGAATCGTTACGTCACGCTACAACCGAGTTCATGTATTCTTTGGATAGAGAAGAGTATAAAAAAAACGTTTGATAAATGGATTCAAAGAATGCAATTGTGTGTAGATAATCAAGGCAATTACTTTGAACATTTAATGAAATAAAAACTTCTTGAACTTGTTTATGTATTTTCAATTCTCGGGTATGCTAATATGAATAAACGATAAAGTCTCAAAAGAAGCGAAGGAAAGGAATAAAGGAAAGAAGAAAAACAGAAAAAAGTTCAAGTGAAGAATGCATATTGAAGACAATATGAACTTCTGTAACCATTACACATGTTAGGCAAACTAGTCTTATTAGGATTTTGTTATTATGATGTCAACTGAAGTATGATCAAATAGCATAGAAAGAAAGAACATTTTTTTCTCTATCATCCTATGTAAAAAGAAACTTTTATCAAGCTTAATATGTGCTACTAAAATTTCGTTGCCCCTACTTTTGGATATCTCTATGTAACCGAAACAGAAATTCTCGGTCTCGGTACATTCCTACTCCAGATAATCTTGAAAAAAATTACAGAAACCACCTTCAGAGATAGCCCCCAAATATCTTCCAAAAAGTTAACAGAAGCACTCCGTGTTTTAAAACTCGAAAATTAAAAGAAGCAGCATAAAATAGCTCATTAAAATTGATTAATTATTCCTTGGAACTGTTTCACTCGTAGCTATATCTAATCAAATGCATGTCAATTCGAAACCTACGGTTAGATTTTGATTGGGCTGGAACTGGATTTGGTGTATGCTCAGTATTCAAGGTTCAACATGAATCAGTTTGTTGTGATGTGATTCGATCCGAGATTGCAGCTAATTTTTGGCCAATTAAAGCGTGTTATCGAAGATTAAAGATCCTTTTAGGTTAGTTCATACGATCTCTCCTAAGCTTCAAGAGAACGAAATCTTTATCTCATTCAAAGTTGTTATTTGTCTTTTGTGAAGTTCAACATCAGTCGAGTTATTGCGATCCTACCAGATACGGCATACGTTTTTAAGTAAACCTAGGGATGCAACAAGCCAGACGCCTGGGAAGGAGAAGACGAAGGAGAAAAAGAGGAGAGAGTTAGTTAAATTCTGAGTAAAGAAGAAAAGTAAGCACGAAAAGAAGAAAAATCGCAATACACATTATTGATACAAAATTCATAACAGATGTGTTCTAATTTGATATAAAATTCGTTTCTATACGCCCTATATTTTAAGAGAACGAAACTTTGAAAAATGATTCCTATAGGTATCATTGAGAAAGAACGAGTTAAGATAAGATGTTATCAACAACACTACCTCACCACAGGAGCAGTACTAGAGAGCTGCGGGTTCATCATTTTTTTTGACTTGAATCTGAATCCAAATCCGATAAAAACTAAAACTTTGAACCCTGGAACGGATCCGAACCTGAGTTTTTTCCATTGATATCTCACATTAGGAAGCTACAGATCCATGTTTTTGTGGACCTGAGTGTTGATATAAGCGCTTTTTTGGCAATATCTGGGATTAGGAAGCTGTAGGACTACACTTTTGTGAATCGAAGCCCAGATCAACCCGGATTCGAGTCGGATACGTGTCTCAAAGAATCAGTGGTATGCTCGAAAACTTTTATAGAATTTGAGACTGAAAGATTGCTATTTGGATTTGCTTTGAAACAAAAATACCATTAACAGTTTGCAATTCGATAATGGTTACCATATTGTGAACTATTTATATGATTTGGTCCAATAGCAAAACTATTTGCCAAGTCCAAACGTAAACTACTAAACTCAAAACTGTCCACAGTTTATTCTAGCTTGATTGCACTCTTAAGGTGAACCGATCCAGTCCAAACTGATTCAGTTCGAGTCAATCTGACCAGACTCAAGATTAAATAGTTTTTTTAGTGTGTCGACCTGATCTGAGTCAGAGTCTGATTGGTAGTTGAAGAGATTTATCTTGTACATCTGTAAAATAACCAAGTTTAATGAAAATATTGGTATAACCTATAATTTTTTCATTATTATTCAATTCAAATTATGGAATCGTATTCTCTCATCTTATCTTAGAAAAATTCTTAGCAATAATAGTTTACTCCATCAGTGATATTTTCATTTAACTTAAGCAGTCCAAACAAGCTCATAATAGAAAAAGTCATGGAGTACATCTGACAATATGTCTGCCGAATTTTCTGAGATGTATCTTTATTTCAAATTATCAAGAAATAGCTATTTATCGATTTGTTAGTTTGTATCATACGATATTTTGACATCCAAAATTTTCCAACAAATGAGTTTTCTAATGCATGAGATATGTCAAACCAAATTTCAAATGTCTATATCAATAAATTAGATTTTCACAGCCAAAGTCTATCGACGCATTTAGACCGTACATATCTGCTCACTTTTTCTCCATTCAAAAAGATATCTTTTGTATCATCGTTGGATGTTTTGACATTCCTTCACCTATTCTCCTTGAGCATAGATACATAAAAATTCATTGTTCTCATTTTTGATTTTTATCAAGTTTGAGAAGGAAAACACACAATAGATGTGTCAACATATTGCTGTTCTTAAAAAGATAGAACAATAACGTACAATTTTACAAATTCCTTCTGATCGTTACATATTTTGAACTTATTTTATACTTTGACTGACTGTTCAACTTGAAGTACACTATTTCTCCTAGTAGACTACGACTAGTTGATATTAATCCATAAACTAATTGTTCTTAGTTTTTTACTTGTGTTAATGATTATTTTTTTCTTTTTCGGGTTTGTTGCATGTCCAAATTTAATTTTATTTCTTACACTATCCAATCTTCAACTAAACTTCATCGTACTTTGAATTACTCTAAATGGATTTTCGTATACATCCCAGTGAAAAATATTTCAAAAAAAGTCGGAAAAAAACGCGTTCATCAAAAACTGGAACGCGATCTTGTAAGTGAAGAATGGATTCTTTACTTTGTAGAACGCGTTCATCAGCAATAAAAGTACGTTCTGTATCTAAAGGAACGCATTCTTTACCGTTCCATACATTTTTGGAATGCTTTCTTCTCAGTTCCAAATCGTTCTTAGTCTTGATGGAAAGCGTTCTGAACCGTTCCAATCGCTATTAGAATAGTTTCTTTTCCGTTCTATTTTAGAACGGTCAAAATAAGATTCTATTAAAATGAGAAAGCTTTCTTTAGATTTGCTAGAGGAATATGTAAGAATGGGTTGTTCGAAAGGATGAATGCGTTTCAGGCAATTTAACATCGTCCTTGAAAAGAAAAGAACGTATTCTTTGTCATTCTACAAACTTCCGAATCTTCTCGTGGAGTCAAGAACAAATTTGGAAAAAATAGAATGTTTTCTCGGCATTTCAAGACTTCAATAAAATTATTCGCCACATTGAGAACAAATAGTCACTTATAACAAAGATATAATGGAATAGGGAAAAAATGAACAAAAGCCAATAGTGAATCATACAATGATAAGTCATATAGACCATATACTGCGAGGGCCAATTGAAATCCCCCTTCTGTTTTTTTTATTTTTGTTACTATAACTCTTTTATTTTTTA